GTCACTGGTTCACCGTCTTACGTTCAACCCGCTTACATACAGTGCGTCTTTTAAACCTTATTTAAAAGCTTCTGTACATTGCACTACATGTTTCAAGCGACATTGGTCATCATCATGTGTTTAAAAATTGTTGGCCGAAACTGCTTTGCATCCGTTTTGTGATTCTGATATTTGATGCATAGTCCCACCTGCGTGCTCGTGTATCGGTAACATAAATTAAAATCATATGTTAGTGTTTGTGTATAGCGCGTGTCTGTGTTCCAGATGATACTCGTTTGTATACTTACTTCATTCCTTTTGTTTTGTGTGTCTAGACTATCGGGACACACCACACAAGAGAAAGAGGCACCCTTAATTACTTACTTACTCATGGAGTTGAGCCCGGATGTCCCGGATTCGATTTCCGGCCCTACCAGATTTTCGGGGAAGTAGTGGGTCTGGAACGGGGGGTTCACTCAGCCTCGTGATGATAATTGAGGAGCTTTTTCAAGGAAATGGCGGCTCCAGCCTAGAAACCCGAAATTAACGGCCGTTGGGATTCGTTGTGCTGACCACGCGACATCCTCCATCCGCTAAAGTTGGCACTAAACTTCGCCGACAACCGGCGGTTGCTCGGTCGGTATAGTTCTCTTGTGGACTGCAGGCCACGGAGTTCGTTTTTGTTCTCCTTTAGGGCACGGTTTCAAATGGATCATCGTGTACTAGGTTTCATATTCTAGGGTTCTGGTAGCGTGCTGCTGGGAACGTAAAGTATACCTTGAACCACACTCACCCCCCGGAACAGTGCCTTCTGCCCTGCAGTCAAAATTTAGACGGAATTTAATGAATTAAAACAGCGAGCCTTCTGTAATGTAAACATAACCCAAGCGGTTAGTCGCTGGCTTCCCGATCCCGGGTCTGGTCAAGTGGGATTTGTGGTGGACAAAGTGGCGCTGGACGGGTTTTCTCCGAGTACTTCGTTTTCCCCTGCCAATCTTCATTCCACCAAATTCTCCATCATCACAATCACCCGGGGCAGGCTACAATAGGCCAATCAGTGGCCGCCGTGCCGAGTGAACCCAGTTGGACTCCACCCCCCACTAAGCGAATTTAATTTTTTTAATGTAAACATAAAATAATTTTATGGTGATATATTATCCAAGAAAAGTTTCCCCCCCCCCAGTCGTTGACTCATCACGAGAGTTCACGTTATGTCTAGTGTGACGGATGTTTTACGAGAATTCAATTCGCAAGGTCTCTGCATCAAATCCTAGTGCTAGCTGTTCTAAGTGAAGGAAACCCCCATANCTGGGGAAGTCTATCACTACCCTCTCCTCAGCAAGGACGGAGACATCGCTACAAGGATATTACACAACAGAATTGTCACACCACAACTGCACCAATGGAGTAAACCGTACACAGATTATTGCCCTTGGTTCCAAGGAACTCCTGGAACCATAGACCACCTGTGCTCGACTGCACCTGTCACAGGTTCTGGAACCGTTTAGCCAAGATACTCCACAAATTGCTAGGACCCCACCCACTGCTGAAGTAACTTGTACTCTTAGGTCGCGCCATAACTCAAGCGGTTAGTCGCTGGCTTCCCACCGCGGCGGCCCGGGTTCGATCCGGTGTCTGGTAAAGTGGAATTTGTGGTGGACAAGTTGGCGCTGGGGCAGGTTTTTCTCCGAGTACTTCGGTTTCCCCTGCCAATCTTCATTCCACCAATTGCTCCACAATCACCCTCATCTATCATCTTGGGCTGGTACAATAGGCCAGAAGTGGCCGCAGTACAAGGGACTTAGTCCCACCCCACTAGCAATAAAAAAAGACTTGTACTCTCAGTACCACCCCACAACAACTCGCCAACTGCTTTCGGATACTGGCCTAAGTAACAGGTAGAAGATATGCACGTGGCAGTGAACCACACCCACCGCCAGACATCAGACTATCAGCGCATGCTCCGCATGAGTTTGCAATACCAGTTGTACACAGAGATGCACTGCAGCATGTGGGCAAATGATGTGACTACATTCAGAGGCTACTGGTTGTACAGGGACATCCTCGGGAAGGAAAAATTATACTCAGAGGACAGATTTAGAGACCATCATGCATTCCATCAGACTGTCCCTCAGATGCAGTCCATAACCATCAAATTTTATAATTGTTGTATTTATTACGTATAAATTTTAATTTTGCTTAATAATAAAATCATTACCAGAAAAATCTGTCTATATGTCTATCTATCTATTTATCTATCTGTCTGTCCGTCCGTCCGTCCGTCCTGCTGGTTCGCTGTATATATTATTTATATTTGTCTGCCTTAATCTATCTCTCTATTCTTTTTTCTTTTTGTTTTTATTCTGTATTTTTTAAGCCAAAACAGTTCCTCATTCAGAGTGGTTAAGGAAACACTGAAATAATTTGCTAAAAGCCGGCATATAAAACTCTGTGTGTAGTGGCTTTTTTTTTCCTGGAAATACGGTGTAGAAGTTGCAGAGCAGAGGGATTTTCGGTAGGATTAATCAGTGCAAGATTATGTCATTAGCTAAGTTAGGTAAGAGAGTATACGAAACGTTTTAATCATGCAGGACAGGACCAGTTTTATTAATCTCTCGGTGTGTTATACATTTCCACGGTTTTCAGTTTGTTACTGTTAATAGGCACGCTACTGAGACATTGGAAAGCCACTACAGTTGATTTCCTTGGTTGGCTGTTGCCATGGTGACTGCAGTTGGATGCTTTGCGTCACGGGGAGTAAAATGAAACATATGCAGTGGTTTTAAAATGTGTTAATTATCATCAACTGTATGGTTTAGGCTGCTCTGAAGCCATGTTCCGGCTACAGGCTTTAAAACTGTAATTATTAAATTCAAAACTGTTCTCTCCGTCCTTTGCCTCGACGTCATTAGTGTCTTCTGCTTCTGGATCTGTACTCTGGAAGTACATTAATAGAACTGTTTTGCTCCTTTTGTTCCCCGGGTGCGGTAGCCACTTGATTTGATAATCTGGAATTAAGGAATTTATGTGAACGGTTTGTAGTTCCCCTGTTACATCTTCTTTCGTGTCTGGGATCGATCAGTCGCTATCCCAACACGGTCGTCAGGAAGCGCATTCCCGCATTTTCCAATGTACCTTCTTGGTGCTTGTCAGATCCGTGAGTTAGATCTGATCTCAAGCCTGGTTAAGAAAGGAGGCGGGGGAGGAGAACACGTTAAAAGATGGGGGGTCTCAGCTGACCCGGCTGTCAGTATCCGCAAGGGACCCTCGCCCGGGATTGTGGGTGAAGTGTCCAACGATGGTTGAGTCATGAATTAATGTCCAACAGGGACAATATGGGGAGGCGGACGGAAGGAGCAACCCTCTCTCAGGAGATAAAAATATGAAGAGAGGTTGCGAGTCGCGCTACCCTTGACCTACGCAGCTGTGCGCCGATCCTGCGCACTGGGCAACTTATTTTGGCTCGCCTACTTCAGGATATGATATACGAGACAGAGAACATAAGGCGAAAAATATTAATATTTAATAAATTACACATGTATTTCTTTTTACGCCGGAAACTGATCCCTGAACTCCTGTTAATGTAACCTTGTGCCATCATGAGGCACTATAATACATAAACTCCGTGGTCTTAGTTCGCAAATGAACTATACCGACAGAGCGACCGACGCTTGTCGGCGAAGTTAGTGCCAACTTTAGCGGATAGAGGGTGTTGCGTGGTCAGCGTAACGAATCCCCACGGCTGTTAGTCTCGGTTTTCTAGATCGGAGGGGCTATTCCCTTGAAGTCGCTGCTCAGTTATCCTCACGAGGCTGAGTGGACCCCGTTCCAGACTCACTACTTCTCAGAAAATCTAATAGCGCCGGGAATCGAACCCGGACCTCTGGATTTGTAGCCAGGAACTCAGACTGCAGAGGCGGTCACTATAATACATAGACCTAGATACTTTAAATGCATTAAAATATTCCACTTTGCCCCCTCTCTCACAAATATTCGGTTACGAGGCGCTTCGCTTGGGATCACATACTCACAATCCAGTCATAACATGAAGTACAAGTTTCGAGGAGATGCTGAGGTAGTCATGTTTCATGAAATGACAGCTGATGAGAGAGAGAGAGAGAGTTTATGGCTGGCAGATTCATCTACCGGCCTGTCATCAGCATGTGTGTTACCACAGTCTCATTCAGCATTGCAGGGCGTGGTAGGCTTGTGATCAGTAAGACGCGAGGAACTGAGTGTTTGCCCTAGTTTTGTGTCGCACAAAGAGGAACGGGGTACTAAGGAGAATACTCAGGGAAAACTGCTTAGTGATGAGCTTCATAAGTTGTATTCTTCACCAGATATTGGAGCCGTGATCACGTTAAGAAGTATGACATGGCCGGAGGATGTACCAAGCGTAGAAAAAAATGAGAAATTCATAAAATTCTGGTAGAAAATTCTGATAGCAAGAAGCCGTGGAGGATCTGAGGCGTAGGTGCAGACTGACATTACAGTAAAATGGAGCAAAATTAAACAGGACTGGACGTTGCTGACTGGAATTATCTGACCCAGAACAAGCTCCAGTGGCGGTCTCTTGTGGATACGGAAATAGTCCCGAATTCCATAAAATGCGGTGATTATATTGAGTGGCTGAGTTAGGGTTAACAAGCGGTTAGTCGTTGGCTTCCCACCGCGGCGGCCCGGGTTCGATCCCGGGTCTGGTCAAGTGGGATTTGTGGTGGACAAAGTGGCGCTGGGGTAGGTTTTCTCCGAGTACTTAGGTTTCCCCTGCCAATCTTCATTCCACCAACTGCTCCACAGTCACCCTCACCTATCATCTGGGGCTGGTACAGTAGGCCAGAAGTGGCCGCAGTACAAGGGACTTACTCCCACCCCACTAGCAATAAAAATAAATAGGGTTAACTACTGAAGCATGATTCTGTTAAGTTGAGTTAGTAGTCCATAGTTAAAGGAATACCAGCGATAAATATGCTTCATGTCTCTTTTGTCTCCTGTTTTGTACAGTGTAATTATCTCTTTAGGTTGCTGCGGGACAAGACGGCAACTGATGACGAGTTCGTAGAGTTCTGCAAACTGCGTCGGGGAGCTGCGCGGGACACACTCGGAGCGCTTCTGGACTTACCGGTGAGTTCAGTCATATAGGAATATTTTAAAAAGTATAGTGCACACTTCACAGACACATCTGGCAGACGGAATTGTAAGTGAAATTCGAGTAATTAAAACTAAATGAAGTCTTCCCTTGTAATACAAAAACAAACTCCCTTGTTTCAGTCCGCAAGCGAACTATACCGACCGAGCAACCGCCGCTTGTCTGCGAATTTAGTGCCAACTTTAACGGATAGAGGGTGTCGCGTGGTCAGCTCAACGAATCCCCACGGCCGTTAATTTCGGTTTTCTAGGCCGGAGCCGCTATTTCCAAATCCCAAAAGACTGCTTTCTTCATAGTCACCGCCGTGAAAGCCTCGAATCTTACATAAGTATTTCTTGATGTCTCGGGACAGAACTACAGCATAAAGATAGACAGTAAATCTTTTTAAAGAGAGGCAAAGTTCAAGTGCTGGGGATCGACAATAAGAAATCGAAAATTGAATCATGAGAAAACTACAATCAACCTACGCCGTTTGTAGCTTCACTTCTGACTACTCCATGTTCTGTGCTGATTCTCACCTTGCACTGCTGCTACGTCTAGATATCTTCTTGGGTGTCGGCTCGTCCACCTTGTAGAACGGGTAGGTATTTGGGAAGGTAGGGAGGATTTTTTGGCGCCAGTAAGCATACGTGAGGAGCTTACAGTTGAGGTAGTGTCTGCACAGGTCAGCTGGTCTGCTCGTGTATGTGTAGAGCTGATATCTAGTCTCAGGGGCGTATAGGCTTCACTCTGGAAGAACTGTTGCTAACCACTTTGTGCGAACGCCAGTTCCGTTACACACAAGGTTTTATTTGTTGTTTTCCGTGCTTTTAATACCAATTGAGTTACTTCTTAACACTGGCTTAATTATCCGTTCGTAATACTATGTTTGTTCTTGCACCACTCGAATTTAATGTAACTCACTTTTGCTTTTCCTAATGAAAAAAAAAAACACCGTGGCCTGTAATTTTTGTTTTGAAGATTTTCTGTCATCTGGGATATAACGCCATGTAATGGGGCGGAAGTCTTCGTGCTGATTTTGTACTCGGCTTACTCTTCAGCCATGGAGAGGGCGACTTCTTCGGACTACACGGCCTGACGTCACTGAGACTTTTCACCGCCGTACTCTGGGGCAAACCTAGGGCCGGCCTCGATACCGTGAGGCTCCTTCGCACGGGATGAAGTTGCCGTGGCATTAGGCTGATCGCATCTAAGGCCGAGGTTAGGAATGCATTGAGCTATACTCAGATCCCCATACGGTTTAATCACATGATTCTTAATCAAGCACAGGGATGTGAAGGTACTGCCTCTTAGTTACAACCAGTTGGTTCATTGTGTCCGTCTTACTGACTTCCTGTAAGGTAACAAACAGTGTGCGGCATTCTGGAATTCCTGCATGAAAATGATGGTTACCATATAGTACCATCCGGCCGTGCGCTAGTCCGGCACATCCAGTAATCCGGCGTCAGGCGCCAGACAGGTATCCGCGACCTTGTGCAGGTTTCTACAGGCAGCAGAGGCTGACTTGTGTTCAGTCTAGCTTGACAAACTGATTTATTTAGACCCCCGCTAGCACACAGTGTTTCAGGTCTTCCTGGACAGTACTCTTCATGCAGCGGTGGATTTCATGTGTGCTGAAGATGTACAGTTCTGACAAACGTGAACATAAAACTTTAATTTTAAGTGCTAATTCGGAAGTAATTAAGAAACTTGACAAGGGTCAAATAGTTTGGCTAAAGCGCACGATGCTGGACTTGCTACGATATATTATATCAGGAAAAATAAAGGAATAAAATAAATTTGTTCCGACTGTTTCCAGTAATCCGTCATTTTTGGTAATCCGGCGATACCTTGGTCCCATATACACGTATGTCGGATTACCAAGACTGTACTATAATGAAATCGTCCCTTCATATAGGCAGATGGTATTATTAAACGTTTTAAGAGTGAGCAGTATGCGAAGCTCGACCTACACAACGGATCCACCTGTAGAAACCCACTAACCGCGAGGTTACGGTTCGGTACGAAGCACATGGGTGGGTTTACCTATATTGTACCTCGGGAATGTCAGACTAGGTGAGATATTACACGAGGAGCACATTGTGTAAGCAACTGAAAACCCGCTCCGTTTAACTCTTCGTAACTTATTCATGAACTTGGAAGTAAAGCCAAAGAAAAGATATCCTACTGCTTTATGCATGTCTGAATTTTTTCAGTTACCTTTCAAGTGAAGTTAATGAGTTAGAGGGGACGAACAACAAAACACATAATTTAAACACAGAAGTACCCTTCGCAGGATAACCTTGTATTAATAATTCTATAACCACTTTCGTACCTTGTTATTATGAGCCATAATATTTAGCACTTGGCACGAACAGTGCCATGAATATATTTGCTTTGCTGAAGATGCTGTAGGCCGGTATAGAGTACGTTCCAGTATTCAGGAATTGGCGCAGCCTTAAAAATTGAAAACAGGTTGTAGACACGAAGAAAGCAGGCTTCTGGGATTTGGCACCGTGTATAAGTGGTGTTAACCGACGTTCCTCCGAAACGTCGGTTAACACCGCTTATACATGGTGCCAAATCCCAGAAGACTGCTTTCTTCATAGTCACCGTCGTGAAAGCCTCAAATCTTACACAGGTTGTAGACACGTTGAACCAAGTATGTAACGAGTTGGAATCGTAGTTCCTAAATCTCGCCTGGTATTATCGCGGTGAAGTGGCCAGAACATATGGCTAAAAGTCTGTGAAGAAAAATGTATGCAGTGTTCGGCTGGAAAACTTGGAAAAGTGTCAAGGTACAACCTAGGGGAATGTCTAACGATTATATTAAAGTGGATCTTGGAAAAAGAAATTGTGAACACAGGTGTATCTGTTTCCGTCACCACAGCGTCTGTATGGATATGTACTACATGTTTCAGTCATCCTTCAGAGTGCCCACTCACTACCGCCTCCATTGCACATCCTTACATTAGCCAGTGTTTGCAATGTGTATATTTTGTGTTGTCCGCTTGATATATTGTGGTCTAAAGCTATTGTATGCGTCCTTGTTAAATGTTTAATATTTAAATTATTGGATTTTTTTAGAATGTTAATTGAATTCTGAAGTCATTTTAACGTAATATAAAATTTGTGCTCATTCCTTATATGTATTTATTTTATTTCCGGTTATTTTGGCGTTTTGTAGATGCAGATTTTTTACAGCTTAATGTGTGTTTTTTGTGCTTAGAAGCAGGTTATCGTCTTGCTTTTCGTTCTTCAATTCTTTTTTTTATGTGGAATTCTTTTTGGTTGTGATCTGAGATTTGAATTATGTTATATATTAAGTTGTCCCTGTGCTTAGCTAATTAAGCACTATGCCATGAAGGCGTATGGGGGAATGGATGTATAGATCCAAAGTTTCTTGACATCTACACTAGTTAGTGGTGAGTGGTCAGCTTTACGCCCCGGCCACTTTACTGCCGGGAAAAGAGCCCCCGGAACCCATTGAATAGGAAGTTGGGTGGACCCCAGAGCGGGTTTGGAGAACGTGGAGGAGAGAAAATTCTTGACCCTACCGGAACTCGAACTCTGACTCTTCTGTTGTCCAGCCCGTAGACAGCCGCTATCCCGTATTCGTGTTTCTGATCGTGGGGTTCTTCGTAGTTGTTTCATTTTCTGTTCTGGTAGTGGATGATGAAGAAAAATTAAGACGACAAGGTAAGAATAACCACGCCGTTTCGTTACATTACACTGAGAGACAAATGCACGTAAAATTTTTGCGGCTTACTCTTGACAACAAAACTGCAGCGAACTCCTCAAACATTGCTGAATTTCTGAAAGAGAAATCGGTGCAACGCAACCTCCTCTTTCAGTATTATCTTCTCGACTTGCTCCTCGCGCGTTTCCTCGTAGCGTTCACGTTTAATCACGTGATGCAGCATATCTCCCTACTTCACTCTATAAATAAAATAAAACAAATTCCGTGGCCTGTAGTAAGCAAGCGAACTATACCGACCGAGCGACCGCCGCTTGTCGGTGAAGTTTGAACTTTTGCGGATAGAGAGTGTCACGTGGTCAGCGCGACGGATCCCCACAACAGTTAATCTCGGTTTTCTAACTGGAAGGGGCCGCAGAACGTTAAATTCCTTTATATGTAACAGGATAGATTGTCAGTCAGTCCAGCTTTATACTGGTGCATTAAGAAACAAATTACTAAACATATGTCGGTACTTTTGACAGGGCTTTTCCTGTAGGAATGTCATTGTGTTCTTCAGCCAGATGCTTAAAACGTACTGCCTTGGAATTTTAAAGAGCCTACAACCTTAAAATTGAAGGGTGTATTATTATTGAGTGAAATCTCCGTTTCTGAAGACCGATCGCAGGGGCGGGGTTCGACAGGGCGAGGTGACGGGCTTTCTCATCTCATGAACAATGACAATCGGAGTTGAACATTACCGGGGCGTGCCCCAGTTTGGTGATAGCTCTCCTCCTGACGCGATGCGTTGGGCAAATGTCGACTAGCCCTTAGTTTCCGTGAAAGTGTCGTATTACTCAACCGTTTAAAACACAGTAGTACCTATACGCGACATCGACTCTAACATTAAGAACTGTTTTTTTTCCTTGCAGAGGGTATTCATGCGTTTCTTGCGACTCGAAATAAACAGGGATTATTATCCCAAGCAGCATTCATTGACTAACCTTTTTGTTGGCGGTGCTGTGTGTTTCGTGTGAGGTAGAACTGAATTTTTAACAACGTGTAAATGAATTTCATTCCTCACAGAGGGATTGAATTGAAATGTATTAGAAATTTAAGCCACTGCGAGCAAGGATGACAGAAAAAAGAATCATCATTAGTAAAAAAAACGATAAAGTTGTCCCTTTTCTTAACTAATTAAGCACTACTCCATGAAGAAGTATGGGGGAGTAGATATGTAAACTCACGTCTTTTAACCTCGGTACTAGTTAGTGAGTGGTCAGCTTCACGCCCCTGCCATTTTATCACCGGTGAAAGAGT